TATATATATATATATATATATATATATATATGCGTTTGTCTCAGGCTTTAACCACCATTGGGCCAACAAAGTAGGAAGGACAGAGAGGAAGAGCGATGAAAGGTGGGGATTTCTGCTGCAAAGTGTTTGAATTTTGAATGGGGGCCGGGGAACGTAGGGCGGACTAGGAAGTGGTGGTAGGAGAGGCCCCCTCCTCTTTAATGAGGTGGGGAGCAGCGCCACCACCGCCAGGGGTGCACAGCTCATGCATGCTTCACGAAGGCTGAGCAATGATGGCCTGCTCCACACACCCGATGGTGCTCTTTTGGTTTGCCTTGCTTTGGGTGCAAGAAGGAGCGCTAGGATCAGCCAATCTCCTTGGGCGTGAGTGTTGGTTGGTTGGTTAAGTGCGGGAGAAGGATGGTGATGATGGGATCAAGGGAGATGGGTGGCCTCCTTTGGCTTGCTTAGTAGAATTAATTTTCCACCAAGTGATCATGATTGCGTGGTCATCCAATCTTGGTGAGACCACTAAGTCCCTTTGGAAACTTGGGAAAGAAAAAAGGGGTGAAGCAACTCTTGGTGGGCTTAGGTATATCAATTGCTTTTTTTATGTGCAAAAAGTCTTCTGGACTTTTTATTGCTCGTATGAGAAGAAATCCGAGTGGAAGTATTGAGTACATACCATTCATTTGCAACTAAAACTTCATTATAATTGCAAGTACGAGTGAGTATACAAAAAAAAAAATTACGAAGTCGAAATATGGTTAAATTTAATATCCCAGAGCATTATAGTCATATATAATGTGTGATTTTATTAAGTTTTATTATGATTTTTGATGATAGGCATGTAGGAATCCGTCCTTGCCTTGCTCGCGGGTTGGGCTTTACAATGGTTATTGGAGGCAACCAGGTGAAAAGGCCCAGCCTCTCGACGAACATGTGAACGGGTCGGATCGTAGCCATCACGGCCCGATGCGGTAATGGGACGCCTCACCAAGTCCTCGTAGATAAATGGAGGGTAGGATGCCTGTTTTGTCCCGATAAGAATCCCCGTATGATTCATCTCCGGCCGCCGAGAGGATCTCCGAGAAGCGCTACGATCTTGGAGGGGCCTCAAGGACAAGGCGCAGGTTTCTTCTCCTCCTCCTCCTCCTCCTTTCTCTCGCCATCCTCTTCTTTTTTCTAGAGTTTCGAGTCGGTTTCTTTTTTTTTTCCGGTTGGTTTTCGAGGAATGGCAGGCAGCATGCGGTAAGCCTACGAAGGTGCAAACGGAGAACAACTCACGCCGCGGTTTTTGAAATTATTGTCGACCCTTGCCAGCAAGTCCACGACCGCCTGGTTCGATTTCATCGAAGAAGACGAGGATGGAGTTGGTCCCTCGCCCTTTTTCGTTTTGTTTCTGCTTCTCTTGCTTCTTCTTGGCAATGGAATCTGCTCACCCCATCGTCGTTAGGGATTGAAAGGTATGGAGACAGTGGTTCCTACATCATGTGATTAGTGATAATTTTGCTTCCTTATGTTGCCCAAAGAAGTCACTGGAAAACCTTTCCCCACCTTCTCCTCCCCTCTTTTTTTTTTTTTGTTTCCGAGTCAGAAGGTTTTGAGGGTTTATTCTCTTTGGTATTTGTTAAATATAAAAGTAGAGGGGTGTTGTTGGTACGGCATTTCTATGCATGCAAAGAAACAAACATGTGAGATTAATATATGCCAAGTGTTGTCCATATTTTCTATTTTGAATACAGCTTGACATACTCCTGTTGGTATTGAATACCGGTAATTGTTTCGATAGGTACAAGTCATTCAAGCTGACTCGTTCTCATCATATTGTTATCAAATCTACCTACCAAGCTTATCCCATCTGCGGGGGAGGCAAAAGAAGAAGAGGGCTTTAACACGCGTCGACAGACTCTAAATGGCTGAACATAAAGAGTAGTTACATGTCCCCCCAATGGCAAGTAAAAGTCAGATAGACAAAAGGAACAGCCACTCAACCTTTGCTCTTTCTCACAAGAACCCAAGGAATAAACAAATGATACCTTTACAGGCTCCGTCTCATGATCTCGTATGAAATTCCAACATTGAGTGATATTTTGGCTACCCTTTCTTTCTATATGGCGAGTTGGAAAGACAGACACATACATACTACACATTACTATTTATTAATCTCGCCACACACACTCGTCAGCTCAACTGGTTGCACCACCGATAATCGCAGCAATTGCAGAAAGCGCAGCCTGCTCATGGAAGACCGTGAACCACCCCCACTCATCAGAAAAACTTCATAACTTTTGTAAATTGTCATGCTAATTCAGCCATTCCATTTTATGATTGATCATCCAAAACACACATTGTACATACAGTATGTAAGCTATACAGTACATTATCCACAAGTAATGTTGTTGACTGACATAAACGGGACATTGTGAAAGTGTACGCTCTGTTTAAGCAATAAGATCAATAATTCAATGCGGCTACTCCACTTGATCCGTCGTCATCTAAAGTAATTTGTTGACCCAAAAAAAAAAAAAAAAAGAAGAAATAGGTTCACAATAGAGTTTTGTGTCTTAAGATCTCTGATTTGAGCAACGCTCGTCTATCATAACCACATTTTTACAAACCTTGTAATTTCTCTATCATACATTTACCGGTCTCAATGCAGGCCCATCTTTAGATGCCACTGCCACATGATGAATAGAAACCCTAATGGAATAAACTCGATGACATAGAAATCCTCTTCTTATCCATCTCCATATGCATACATCAGTGCTCGAGTGGATCATATGGTGGGATAACAAAAAGGGTAAAACTCGAGCATGATCCACGTACAGATGGTTCCTATGCACAGTTGAGCATGATCCACCCATCCGCTTAAGAATTAATTCATCAAGCAATTCTAATGAGTGAAATGTCTGATCACGGTAAGCATCGTCTATAAACTCTCGACCATCACACATCTCCATCTCATTCCCTAATTCCCTAGTTACGCTACGACGCATACAACCATTTTATTTCTCGGAACCATTGCTCTTCAAACCCTTCCACCTTCGAAACCTCTCCCTCTACCAAATGTGGACTCAATCGATGACTATGCCAAGTAAAATATTGAACACCAACTGAACCATCTTGCTTCTTGATTTCATGTGGATAGGAATACAGTTCAATCTTGGATCCATGGTGCACTAGCCTGATCTGGTCCAATTTGACCAACTTGACCAAATCAGGTCGGAGCAGGAACGGTACCACTTATCCCTGTTTCCATCCCACCGGCAAAAAAAATACCTATCCCAACAATTTAATCTTTTTTTAAAATTATTATACTGCAAATATAATAGCATCACACATATATCAATAATCTTTTTAAAAATAAAACAAATTCAGTTTTAACCTTCGAATATGCCTTAGCAAATGCCAACTTATGATAATCTAGCAAGTATATCACTGAAGATAAGTATGATATTCACGATCACTGATAACTAAAGTTTACTGACTGTAAAGGGAAAATCGATTAACATAATGAAACAAAAACCACTTCAGAGGAAATAAAAAAAAAACGTTTAGAAAAATATGGTAAAACAATTTTCACAACTTCTTTATAGAAAAATTTACTTACTGCAATTGTGCAAGCGACTAAGCCTGGTTTCTCTCTGTGGTCTACTCTGGCACAAAGTAGAAAAAACACGCCAACATACCATGGGATCGCAGCCAGAAAGAATCCAATTATGAACCTTCCAAAAAAGATACTCTTCATTAGCCTCAAACATTCTAAGAATTGGTAATATATGTTTGAAAGACTGAAATAGTTCATGCATTGTATATATGTAGATGTAGATATATGTATACACATACATATATAAGGAAAAAGCAAGATTCACATACAAAACCCAACCGATGCCCAAGCCGCAGCAAGGGAGACTTGGCAGTGTCTCTGGTCTTCCTTCAACGACATGTGCATAACCTCGAAGATAGTAAGCATTAGATGCATTAGAACACATCAATATGTCAAAATATCACATGAACTAGGCACGATGACCTATAATCTAGTTTGATTACAGTTGAGCCAAGTTTATATCAATGCTCTCACTATAAAAAGCAAAATGAATAAAATTGATATTCCATTGCACAAATATAAACATGCACCATAAAATTCATGGCGAACTTCAATTTCAGAGACAACATCTAAACCATTAGAAATACACGAAGAGTCATCAACACCGTCTCCGATCTTTGCAGTATCAATCAGTCAGGAATTCTAGATGCATAGATGAAGAAGGCAGCACTATCCAAAGCCTTCCTTGATCCACATGCGGATCAACATCCCATGGCCCATTCCGGTTTCGGTTTTGGTTTTGGTTCGAGATTTTGCGAAACCGGAACCGTGGTCAGGGCTACACTGGTGAATGACAGGAGGGAAATCATCCCCGGGGGAAACTCCAATTTTTCTATTGAGAAAAAATATATATTTTTTTTTTCTATCTGCTGTTCTATAAGCTTTCATTTCAACAACAAGCAAAATATTCAGCTAGTAGGCCTAATTCCTAATCTTCAGCGATGGCCCAGTCTTCCAGCAATGAAACTTGACGGCACACCTCGCCCATCGTCCATGAATTGTACTGGTAAATGCCGTCGGATTGGAACTAGGAAAGAGTGGTTAAGGCTTTCAGCGAAAGGAAAAAAGATCTTGACACGATTCCCGCAGGATAAGAGATTGGGGGTGGAAGTCACACTGGCTGGGATCGATAAGGGATTTCTGAAGCGGCTGATGCATTCCAATTCCCCACCCATCCGGAGGCAAAAAATGAAGATCTCCTGAAACATGCGAATGATGTTTAGCTCGCCATAATCCCGATCAATTGAAGCCCTAAAAGATCTGTCAACCCTCTCCGCCGCCATAAATTCCCACAACCACTTCAGGAAAGGACATACACCAGGCCGATACCTCGATCCGCATTCCAAGAAACCATCATCCTCGACACCGATGACTTACAAATCCAAGAACCAATTACCCACGAAAGACGAGACGATTGAAGCAAATCTATCGGAATGAATTCAGAATGCTGCTATACCTGGGGCGGCCTGGTAGTCGTGGGCGTAAGAGGGAGGCAACGGCTGCTGCGGAGGCGCAGGGAAGGGAGGTTGAGCGGCGGTTAAGCCGGCCGGAGAGGCAGGAGAGGGGGAATGGGCGATTGTTAGGCCCGGCGGCGGCACCGGCAGGGGGAAGCCGATGCTGGCGGGCTGGGCGTGGTCGGAGGCGCCATGGAAGGTGCTGCATTGCGGCTTGTCCTTGCTCTCCTCGCTCATCTTCCCCCCTCCCCTTTCTTTTGTCGTGACCCCTCTCCGTCTCCTCTCCCCTTTTGCCTTCTTTCATCTTCTTCTCTTCCTCCCGCCCTGATTTAGACTTCCCCGATTGCGTTATTTCAGGTAACGCGCGATGTGGCTTCGCGGAACCAGACGCCACTTCTGGCACTCGTTTATCGAGTACCCCACTTCCCTACCTGCCTCTTCATGGCACGTAGTGTTTTCGCAGCTCTGGGACCCACAAAAAACCAGTAATCAAGTGAAACGTGGATAAGCCAGGTACTCCAGAAACGGGTAGGAAAACCACGTCCGTCTTAATCTCTAACGACGGTTTCAACGTCGCGCCACCGACAGAAGAAATGACCCATCCTCTTCTACCCGGTGGACACGCAACCCTATTCCTTCCTCATCTGTTCTTTTCTAGTGGGTCCCAGGTAAATGAAAAGGTCAGCGTGGGTAAACAACGGGGTGGACCCTCTTTCGTGCGAGAACGCAAGTGGAAATTAACGGGCCAAGCTGAGCCCACTACTAATCCAACCCGAAACTTACGCCCGTCGAAAGGGTCTGTCTCTATATATCCTCCACAACGTGCTGAACTCCAATTTCAGGGCTGCAATAAAAATATTGCTGATGACAATAAATTAACATGTTAAGAACAGCCGAGACTCCAACTTCACATGGGAGACAAACCATCTTGCAAGGGATTAATGTCAGTCGAATTGACTCGGTAGGAAAGGAACTCATCACCCTTTCTCTTTCTTCAACACCATTCGCTTGACGGCACTTTCCAGCTTGTGTAACTCTCGCAGATCGAGAGTAATAGATAGATACGTCTCTAACCTCAGGTCGGTAAAAGGATGTACAAGAGAAGACTAAAACTTCTCAGGAAAGAATAAGAGCTTTAGCACAGAGTCAGCTCACTTTGTAACCCAATGCTTTTTGGAAAGCTTAATCTTTATTGCAGAGCGTGTGTTACTGTCACGCGGTCTAAAGATGCATGAAAGTGGGTGAGTTGTTGTAAGTGTAATTGGCATCAACAAGGAGAACATGTATCACGAAGAAAAAGAATGAGAGCATATAATGGTGGATGCCACATTAAAAGACTCGTACTTCTGCCGAGACTTTGGTAAAGCGCAAGCGCAAGAAGCGCACACACACGGCCTGCTTATGTTGACGAGAGGTAAAGCTCTCTCTCGTGATGGGTTCCAACACAGCGCTTAAAAGAAAAACTCTCACGGTACTAAGACGCTCCTTGGTACGTCCCGTCCCATAAAACTCGAGAGGATGGCCGCATAAAGGTACCATCTTGTCCCTCGAGGATCGATCATCACGTCAAATCCGTGTACGATCGATCCTCGTATAGTAATATAAAAACCCCTGACCGGCATCTGGCCTAGATGGAGGCAAAACAAACCAACCAAGCACTCACTTACTCATGGGTCAAAGTCGGCAACCACCCGACGAGGGCCATCTGTGCAGGAGAGCGACCACCCCCCGAGCTACCAACATCCCGACGAAGAGCTGCCAACCAATGTTCCAACTAAGAGCCGCCAACCAGCATCCCAACGGAGAGTCGTCGACCAGCATTCTGACCAAGAGCCGCCAACAAGCATCCCGACCGAGAGACGCCAATCAACATTCCGATGCTAACACCCCGTCTTGAGGGCATAATCGACCTCAGCAACCAGCTCAGCCGGTCAAATGCTCCCGACATCGACCCGTGGACCAGATCATGGTTGATGACAACCACATCAGTTCATCAACAACAAATTCTATTATCATTACGGTTTAATTGATAGTATTCTTAAGCAGGCTGAAAAATTTAGGATTTAAGCACATCAGTTCATCAACAACATGAATTCTATTATCATTGCAGTTTAATTGATAGAATAGTTAAGCAGACTGAGAAATTTAGGATTTAAAATATCATGTATATATATATATATATATAAATTAATTTTGTCTATTAGAAATATCATGTTCAAAACCTACCAGTTCTGGTGTATTCTATGCATGTTTTGTGTCACCCGACCCCACCGGCCACCAGGCAAGTTGAAGCACACTTCCGCCGTCCACGGAAGGGCACATAGACGTGGATGTGAACCACCGGCTGCAGGTCGCCCGACATATGACCACCGGCTTCATCGCCTGCATCTCCATCCTTCCGTCCTTCCAACTCGATGTCGTTTCGTCACTCCCTGCGCAATTGGATTGATGAACACCTGTGCCACCTGGTGGACTTCCGTGCACAGGAAGAACAGTGGTCATCGGTTTGCCATGACCAAGTCAACAAAGCTCCTCAGCTGTTGCCTTTGAAGATTCAAAGGTTGACACCAAAAGCTGGACTTACGTATATTGGATCACATTCCTATAGTATTAATTGATATACTTGCCGGAAAATTACCGGTCTGACTCCGCCATTTCCTTGCTGACCAACAAACCGCGTGTTCATCGTATTATATTTCTGTTCAAAGTTCACAGCTTCTTCTTATTCTCAGTCGTAGACGGGAGAGGAAAGCATCACGTACTACTCTTCCTCTTCTTCTTCTTCTTCTTCTTCTTCGTTCCTTTGTCTCAACATCCTACTGTTGCAAAGATCCAAAAGCAGTTAATAGATCTCTCCTCCTCCTCTTCTTCTTTCTATCCCTTGCTTGCTCTCTGGAAATGGCCTCCTGCAAAGCATGGCATCTCTTCCTATTCTGCTGTCTTCTCCAACCGTTTCGATCTTCAGCTTCTCTCTACAACTGGAGTTCTTCGGCGACGCACGGATCTCCGCTCCCCGGGATCGAATTGCCTACCCACTTGAGCTTCAACGCCGTCACCTCCGCCGGGGAGTCCGGCTGTGACGACCACCTTGACGCGGCCGGCGGATCGCCCAACAAAGATGAGCAAGGATTATTGTACGATAACATGGATCAGGGAGGGGTGGAAGACAACGCAAGCGCCAAGGATGGGGCGGCGCCGGCCTTGAGGCTCCACCTCAAGCACCGGTCTACAAGGGATGGGGCGGCGCCGAACAGGACCAAGAAGGAATCCTTGGAGCACTCCGCCAATAAAGACGCCCTTAGAATCGGGACCCTCTTCCGGCGGATCACCGAACGGAAGAACCAAAACGCCATCTCCCGCCTCGCCGCCGATGCTGATCACCGCGCGGTCGTCGCCGAGATGGGACGAAAGACGGCAATCGCGACGCACCCGAAACAGGGCGGGCAGCTGATGGCCATGGTCGAGTCCGGAGTCACCCTGGGATCCGGCGAGTACTTCATCGACGTCTTCGTCGGTACGCCGCCGCGCCACTTTCCCCTCATCCTCGACACCGGAAGCGACTTGAATTGGATCCAGTGCCTCCCCTGCCACGACTGCTTCGAGCAGCACGGCCCGGTCTACGACCCCGCCGCCTCCTCTTCCTACCGCAACGTCAGCTGCGCCGACCCCCGCTGCGGCCTCGTCTCGTCGCCCAACCCGCCCCAGCCCTGTCGCTCCGCCGCCGCTAATGGCGGCCGCGACCAACCCTGCCCCTACTTCTACTGGTACGGCGACAGCTCCAACACCACCGGAGACCTCGCGCTCGAGACCTTCACCATGAACCTCACGGCCCCGGACGGCGCCGGCGCCGAGTTCCGCCGCGTGGACGACGTCATCTTCGGGTGCGGCCACTGGAACCGCGGGCTCTTCCACGGAGCCGCCGGGCTCCTGGGCCTCGGCCGGGGGCCGCTCTCCTTCTCCTCCCAACTCCGCTCGCTCTACGGCCACACCTTCTCCTACTGCCTCGTCGACCGCAACAGCGACCTCAGCGTCAGCAGCAAGCTCATCTTCGGCGAGGACCCGAGCTTGCTCGGCCGCCCGGGCTTGAACTACACCTCCTTCGTCACCGGGAAGGAGAACCTCGTTGACACCTTCTACTACGTCCAGATTAAAGCAATCCTCGTCGGCGGCGAGGCACTGCAGATACCACCGGCGACATGGGAGCTGGCGAAGGACGGCAGCGGCGGGACCATCATCGATTCCGGCACCATACTGAGCTACGTCGCCGACCCGGCGTATCAGAAGATTAGAGAAGCCATCGTCAAGAGGGTAAAGTACCCGATGGTGGCAGACTTCCCGGTGCTGAATCCTTGCTACAATGTATCCGGAGTACCCAAGGTGGAGCTGCCGGAATTCGCGATCTTGTTCGGAGACGGCGCGATGTGGAACTTCCCGAAGGAGAACTACTTCATCCGGCTGGATCCGGAGGACATCATGTGCCTCGCCATCCTGCCGACGCCGCAGCGGGGGATCTCCATCCTGGGCAATAACCAGCAGCAGAACTTCCACATCACGTACGACTTGAAGAATTCCCGGCTGGGATTCGCGCCGGCGAGGTGCGCCGAGTTGTAGAGAGAGAACTCAGATCACATAGTCTTGGAGTAGACATTTTGTCGGAAGGTAGACACGAAAGTGTTGGCTCCAAGAAGAGCTGAAGAGCTCAATAGACCAACAACCGATTCATTTCTTCTTTCCTATTCCCATCTTCTTTTTCTTCTTCTTACATACACACATACATACTTTTGGTCTGTAAGAATAAGTCTGCAATTAGCTCGCCATAAAGTTAAGAAAGGAAATCCAAAGCTCTGTTGTTCTTTTGCTTTGTCGAGTAGATATTTCCTCAAACTGCTTGTCCTGGATTCGTCCTTCCATTCCTTCTCGTAGGAACAGAGAGAAGGAAGAATGATCGGGTAAGCGAGCAGGGAAGAGAACACAGCAGCAATCACAGTGAACCATCACAAGAAGAAGTGACTTCATTTGTACGAGTATCGCAATTCCATGCCTTTGATCATCCCATAGCTGATTTTTTGATGCGTGTATCACATGTGACAGTCAACATCCTGCGGCTATTCCTCGTTCCTGTGTTTGACCATCGATTGCTGTACCTGTTGATCTTTCCTTTCCTCGCTCGCCGATACACCGAGCACGAGAGATGCGAATTGTCGTCCTCATCTGTTGCACATGTTAGGCAACGCGAGCATTAATTTCCACCATCGACGACACTGCGCGTCTCCCCTTTTCCTCCGACTACTTGATGTTGCAACCATCACCGCTTACTCCACCATGTACATTATAGTACACATTAACTTTGCTCTCTGTTTTGGAGCAGCAGCACATATCGACTCCATGAGGTGTTCGAGCAGATTAGGTCGAGTGACATAATTCGGAGCACCTATTTCGTAAACATGTACACTTTATCGTGCATGCTGCTCCTGCAGGCAATCTCGTGAAGGGATGACTGACTTGAATGCTTCAGTTCGTAGCTCAAGATTAGATCTTTTTTTGGCTGCACGCCTACCAAATGACTCGAAGAAGATAATGTTTAGATTTGCAAAGTGCCCACCGGTGAGACTTTTGCTCAAACACTTATCCGATTCCTGTTGTAGTCAACTGCAGTGAGCAGCGGACAGGAGTGGAGCTGATCTGTGAGCCATGACGGCATTAAATAGACATACATCCGTCACTACCAGAAGAGATTCCAAAAGGCAGACAACAGTCTTTGGTTTGGTATGGTAATGGATCAGTTCATCGAAAAAGGAAGAGAAGAGGAGAGGTGGAGTACAAAAGCAAACCATGCACGATTTCAGTAGATTGGGCATTGGTTTGCCCCACATCACAGCAATTCGTAAGGAGCAAATAAGCATCCAACAAGCACCGCTCGCCATGCTCAGAAAGATCGAGCAAAGCATGGCTTTGCTGTGCCATTGCCAATCATAGAAACATAAACTGGAACTCGATCGTCTTCTCCGTCGCCTCAAGAATGGGAGGGATCGCGTTCAGTTGTCGAGGTGCTTCATCCCCAGCTTCTTGACTTCCACTTTGAGAGATTTCAGGTACTTGACGGCCTCGTCGAGGACGGCAGGAGTGTCCATGCGATCGCCACCGGGGATGATGCCCTTGAGTGTCTTCACCATCTTCTTCATCTTCTCCCTTTTGCCGCTGCTACTGCCGGCGGTCCCGGAGACTTGCTTCCTGGAAGAAGCGGACTTCGAGTGCGAGGAGCAGGCGGTGTCCGGGGAATGGCCTGCCCAGCTGCCGGGCGTCCTCCCCGTGCTCACCACGTCGTCGTCTTCGCCTTCTTCCGAACTCAGCAACGCGTCGATGTCCTCCGTCTCTTCGTCGTGATCCCTGTGCGCACTTTGGCCGGCGTCGTGAGCGTGAGTTCCGTAGGCGTCGAAGCCGGGAGAGCCGAACTTGTGCGCCAGCGAAGGGTGGAACATGACCCGGCTCCTGTGACGTGTCTGGTCAAAGATGACAAAGTTTTTGGGGCATGTCTCCGACGGCTGGAACTCGATATTGTTGAGCGGGGCAGGGAAATCACGGTGCTCGTGCCCTGCAACAGGGGCGCCGCCGTAAGGGTAGTAAGCGCCTGCGCCGGAGTCGAAGCCGTAGCCGTCCTCAAGTGGAGCTTTTCCGGCTAAGTATCTCGGGTTCCTCTGCATGGTGCTGTCGCTTGTGGGAGAAATCTGGTGAAAGTGAGCAGAGGATGGCGAGAGCAAGCAACACGATCTCCCGAGCAGAGTTTCCTGTTCGATGCCAACTTCGAGGAAGGAAAGACAGCTTAGCTATGGAGTGTCTCTTCTATTGAATAGCTCTTCTTCTGTGACAGAGGAAGAAGGAAGAGAACAGATCGACTTGCTCTCAACCTACGTGACAGGCTTGAGCAACTGGCGGAAGTACTCAGCCTGCAACCAGAGGACAACCAGTAAGAGTAATTCAAACACAGAGAAGAGAATCAAACATGTTCTTCAAGTATTTTTTGACACAGTAACTATGGAATTACCTGACAAACCTGCAACAATTGAGAATAAGCAATGATCCTGACACTCATTATGATCTCTCCAGCCTTCTCCAATGTTCGGTATCTCTTCAGATTTGCCTCAATGTGCATTCTCAATTTCTTCACACAGGTTGCGACCAAACCACCCGACAGCTAACAAAGATTCCAACTCACCTGCCATTAATTCACCGAATAAACACGAAATCGAACGCACTTCAAGAGAGAGTTGCGGTGGAAAACAGAGAGGGCGATTTACACTATGACACGAAAGAAGACGACCAAGCGAACGCGCTTCAGGTAGAAGTCAGCAGCCATCGACGCCCACGGCATGCTTACCGGTCTGATCTCGGTTCCCGCAGTCCTGCAAACGAAGGATTCAAAGCTGAAACGATCGAATTCAACAGCCGTCGACCCGCGAAGCAGAAGATAAAGCAGAGGGAGCAGAAACAAACGAAGTCGTGCACCAAAGCTCAAACGATAAACACATGGCTGCTGGTGCAAGAGAGAAGATATAGAGGGGACCTACGGAGGTGGTGGCTCCTGCACGGGCTGATGCAACGCGAGAGGAGTCAGCTGAGATTTCAAGTACAAGAAGCTGGAGCAGCGACAGGGGAGGGAGTTGGACGGCCTACGAGGCCTATGGGATACGGTGGGAGGCTGAGACTGTGAAGCCACCTTGCCCCTCCCTCCCTCGCCTCCTATATATCTACGTCTTCCGGTGTCTCTTTCCTCCGAGGTAGGTAATGATGGGAGCTTCCAAAGCGGAGATCTCTTTCCTGCGCTTTCATTAAAATTGAGGCAGAGCAATTAATGTGGCGTGGAGGCAGGCAAACGGGGGTGGATGTGCGTCTGTGCGCGCGAACGCGCGCGAGCTTCGACTTGATTGCGCGTGACGCTCCTCCATCCAACACGACAGCCTGCCTCCCTGCCCCAACCATTTAAAGTCGACACCTTTTTGCCCCCACCCTTGGGTCTCGCTGCTGCTCCTTCCACGCCTGTCGTCGGATCATCGGAGACGGAACAGGCAGCCGTCGGATGGCGGGCGTCGCCCCCGGGGGCCCGCTCGGGGACTCCGGAGGGGACACAGGGAGAGGGAGATAGATGGTGGCGATCACTATTTGTTACCACGGTGTTCGGGTTCATGTGCTGGTGTCGGGGGCAGTGGAGGGGGGAAGGTCATCATCATTTGGGTGCGGTGTTGTCATCATAATGTCTGCAGTGGATGGAGAGAGAGACTGTGTGTGTGTGTGTGTGGTGGGG